AAAAATGTACAGTATATCAAGCAACTGAATTACATTGAAATATAAAAGTAAATAAAATCCACTGTAATATTTCAGAACCCACTGCTACAAATAAGATGTATAATTATAATGTAATTCAAGCAATCACATGCATGTAAAGAAATCTCAAAACATCTATCTAAAGCGTGAATTTATTTTTGCACGGCTTCTCGTTAAGCTAATGAAAGAGGAATAAAGTTAAATCTGCAACATATTAGAAGGGGGAAGTTAAGAAAAACAATAAACAGTCAGATTTTTGCAAGAAAGCAAACAGAAGTAACCACAAAAGGCAACACTGGTAGAAAACACACACATACATTATGGGTGCATGCTGCAACTAATAAATCTCTTACCTTGATTGAGAGAGCATAAAGATGATTCAACATGACATGGTTTGGTTCAGGTAGTAACGATGGCTCACACTGCCAACAAGAAAAAAACAAAAAAAACATGTGTATTAAGTCTTTTCATTTTTACAGAAACTAGACACAAACAACATCAAAAGTGATTCATTCAAATTTGTTCATGAAACGATCAAAATATTTATTTATTTATTTAATTTATTACAATGTTGAACACTGAACGCGGGATTTCATCGAGATAGCCTCACTTTATCTGTACAAGCCAATCAAAATTCTATAGAAGTACGGGTATTAACACATTTAGTTTTTGACCCATCCCACTGCCCAAATGATGATTAGTTTATGGGCACAATATATATACCATTATAAAAATGCAGACCATAACGTCGATACACATACATGCAGAATGTTGGCATCATGACAGTCAGTGAAATCAAACACCACATCAATATACAGAGAACGCCTACAGAGAAATGTTGGCATCATGGCTGTCAGTGAAATCAAACAACACCACACAAATATACAGAATACACATACAGAGAAATGTTGGCTTCATGGCTGTCAGTGAAATCAAACAACACCACACTAATATACAGAATACACATACAGAGAAATATTACCTGCAAGGCTATATCTTTGTTGAGTATAACTTGCAATAAATGTGGTGGTAAAATGGGCGGTCCTGATGATTTTTCTTGCAATCTCCGAGACGGTATATCTGTATTGTAATCACCAGGTGGAGAGCCGGAAACATCTGTGTTCAATCGAGAAATATTGTTAAATATCTTGCTATGTGATAATTGTCCAGTTACATTTATACCTGTTAAGAATTGCAACAGAAAGTCTATTCATAGCAACAGGTGACAAATACCCTTCGTAGTACAGATTTTCTGTTGCAATTAGTGGCAGGTTGGGCATGATGTGTCGCTGATTGACTGCACTATAATACTATTCAAAGACAACGCTGCACATATGAAACAACAATCTAATGTTCATTTTAAACAGACAGGTTTTACAGTATCTCATTAACACAAGTACATGCCATCTGTTGCCTTTCCATGGTAGGAAATAGTCACAGCTATTGCACTATTTTCTAACACATGCACATTTTTGCCTTAAAACCCAATCACAAACACTGCTACAAAACTTGGTAATTTTTCAACGTCACCAATGCTAAAGGTATTCCAAGAAATTAGTTATAAATGGCGGCTCTATTATTGGCATGCAAATAATTTGAGTCTTTTCAGTAGACAATGTTAAACCAGTCATTTGATGACAATGTTACAAACACCATGGTTGAATTAAGCTTTTTACAAAATATGGAGTAACATTTGAGTGTATTAAATTATCTTAACATTACCATCATTCATTTTTTAGTTGTTTTATCAGGAGTATGTATATTCTATTTCTTACACATGAAATGCCTGGTTGCTAAAGAGTATTAAAATCATAAAATAAACAATTTATGATTTATGTATGTCAATATTAGAAATTGCACTGTAGCTCTTTAGTATCTCTCAGTTGTTACTGATTGTCAGTGTATTTCATCTGTCGCATGTAAGCAACATTTGGTAGTAATAAACTCGCAAAGGGATAATGCTTGGTTTTGGAGTAACATACATGTACTGTAAAATACTTT